GTTACTTCATGGAGTCCTAAAGGTTAGAAGTGATGGCCAAGGCCGCCCAGCTTAACCAGGGCTGATTTTTGGGGATCTGAAAGTGCCCCAAATCGACTCAAATTGCCCCAAAAATGCACACCCCCACCCCAGCCCCCCCCTCCTGCTCACCTGCCCCCCCACGGTGAGGTAGCCGGTCTGCTTCATGATCTCCTGCAGCTTCTGGTCGATCTCAATGCTGGGGAAGAGAGAAGCCGGCTGGCCAATCAGAGAGCGGGAAAGGAACGGCTTGGCCAATCAGTAGGAGGTGGGGATCAACGCTCAGCCAATAGGAACACGAGGATCTCCCAGCCAATCGGTGGCACAGGGTGTGTCTGCCCATCCAATCAGCTCAGGAGAAGAGTTGGCCAATGCCGATCGTAGTGGATCTCTGGCCAATCAGCATGCATCACTCTTGGGATACTCAGCCAATCAGGGCACAGAAATCTGGTACTGTTGGCCAATCAGCGCATGGGAAAACTGCACTCCTGGCCAATCAGTGCACAAGAATCCACATCTATCAGCCAATCAGCACATGGAAATCTGCTTCCCCCAGCCAATTGGTGCACTGAAATCTGGTACCGCTGGCCAATCAGTGCACAGGAATCCACACCCCCAGCCAATCAGCACACGAGAATCCTCTCCCCCCAGCCAATTGTTGCTCAGAAATCTAGTACCACTGGCCAATCAGTGCACAGGAATCCACAACCCCCAGCCAATCAGCACACAGAAATCCGCTTCCCCCAGCCAATTGGTGCACGGAAATCTGGTACCATTGGCCAATCAGTGAACAGGATTCCACATCCCCCCAGCCAATCAGCACATGGGAATCCTCTCTTCTCCTCCTCCCTCCCCCCCCAGCCAATTGGTGCACGGAAATCTGGTACCGCTGGCCAACCACCACACTGGAATCTGGTGCTCCTGGCCAATCAGCACGCAGGAATCCCGTACCCTCAGCCAATCAGCAGACAGGAATCTGGTACCCTCAGCAAATCAACACAAAGGAATCTGCTCCCCCCACCCAATAGGTGCACGGAAATCTGGCACCACCAGCCAATCACCGCATGGGAATCTGGTACCCCCGGCCAATCAGCGTTCAGAGACCTCCCGCCCAGGCAGCCAATGGGCCGCTGAGGGACCCGTAGAAGGGGCCAATGGGATCCAGGGGGCGGGACCTCACCTCTCGACGCTGCGGGGCACCAGGAAGGGCGGCTGGGGCAGCCCCAGCATGTGGCGGGGCCGGGCGGGGGGTGCGTGCTGGGGGCCATCGGGGGCTGCGGCCCGGCCCCCCCCATCGCTCACCAGGGGCAGCTGCAGAGCTGGGGGGACACAGAGAAGGTCAGAGAGCACAAACTGACCCCAAATACCCCAAAACCTGCCCCACGTGCCACCCCAAAACAGCCCCAATCCAGCCCAAAGTCAGCCCCAAAACAGCCCCGAGAGCTGCACCCCTCATCCCTCCCCCAAAGCAAACCCCAAACCATGGCAACACCGAGCCCAAAAGCAAGGTCACAGCCAGCTAGCCCCAAAGCAGCCCCAAACAGCCCAAAAATCGAGGCCAAAATGGCCACAAATCACCCCAAAAAGCGAGATCACAGCCAGCCCCAAAAGAGCCCCAAATCACCCCAAAAAGCAAGGACAAAACAGCCCCAAATCTGCTCCAAAACACCCCAAAAAGCAAGGCCAATACTGCCCCCAAGCAGCTCCAAATCACCCCAAATCCAAAGCCAAAACGGCCCCAAATCATTCCAAAAAGCAAGCTCACAGCCAGCTGCAAATCTGCCCCAAATCACTCCAAAAACCAAGGCCAAAACAGCCCCAAATCAGCCCCCAAACACTCCAAATACAAAGCCCCAAATCTGCCCCAAATCACCCCAAAAAGCAAGGCCAAAACAGCCCCAAATCACCCCAAATAAATACCCCCAGAGCAAACCCAAAGCAAACCCCAAACAACGCCAAACCCAAACCCCAAAGCGAGCTACAAAACACCCCAAATACACCCCAAAACCACAGGCCAAACCAAGCCCCCCAAAAAAACCCAAAACAGCCCCAAATAAGCAAAAATAACAGGAACCCCAAAAGCCCACCCCATGCTGTCAGCCCTTTGGGACCATTCCTGCCCCTCCTGGCCCCATTTGGGCTCTTCCCAAACTTGCTTGGGTCGGTCCCATTTCCACCCTATTTCATCTCACCACCCTTTTTGTTTTTTTGCAGATCCTGTCCCATTTTGCTCCTTTTCACCCCATTTTATTTCAGCCCCCCCCTTTCCCCATTCCTTTTTGTATTTTG